CTGCCCTCGTCACCGCCGTGCCCAGCCCGCGCAATCGGAGGAAAGAAGCGCACGCAGCTGGCGCTGGTCGCGCCCCCATCACACCAAAGGGCGCCCTCACACGCAGTCACTCGGCGCCTCCGAGAAGGGGCACAGCCCTTCACATACAGCGGCCGCCGACCGCCACCGACCGTCAGAGGTTTCGTGAGACACCGTTGTGGGCTCCGACAGCTGGCAAAAATCGGTTCAGTGTCGTCTCTTGTGTGAACGCTGCCATTTAGAACCGTGTTCTCCTAGCGGTGGCGCGAACAGGTGTCTGCGTTGCTGGTAGCCGGAGTTCGCCACCGAGCACCACAGCAGCGCGACTTCACCACTCGAGTGAATACCTCCATTTAAAGCAATGCTTTGCCAGCAGACGCACCACTCGGAAGCACTGCTGAGTGTCGTCGTGTGAAGGGGCCCGACCAGTGGATGGCCAGCGTCAAGACGTTAGGGAGCGGCAACGTCGCGTCGGTGTGTTGAGACATGAACGGTTAGTGCTTGACTTGGGCGTGTAGACGAGGAATATCCGCCCTGTAGAGCAGAGAAAGCGATAGCGGACGGCTGCGGCCTAAAGGAAGCGGAAGGAACTTGGCCGCCTCTGCGAGCGCTTGCGGTCGCTCGCCCCCTAGACTGAGTGTCCCTCGGGCCAACCGCATCGCGTGTGCGACGGCAGCGCGGCGCCCTCTTCTCCTACCTGCCGTCTCCCTCCCGCAGGGGAGACAGTGATTATCAAGACTGAAGACTCAACTTCAAGTTCCATCGCGTCATATCTTTATCGGCGTACTGCGGAGGTGTGGATGATAATGAACAGCTGTCGACGTAAGACGATAAAATGTTGAATCTGCAGCCTCTCGGCTAGTCATTATGCTTTACGCTCTAAATTACGATAGTCTTAGTGTTTGAATGGCATACGCAGCACCTTCGCGTTCATGGGTTATCAGTGATAAAACATATTCGATCTGACAGCTCCAGAGAACCCAATAGTAAAAAGAGGGTAAAAAAATATTCATTTGAGTCGTTTCTAACACATATCCTTGAATTGATTTGAAGCATTGTTATTATGCTTCTTAAAATATCCTCGAATTAGCTTTGCCCACTACTTCATTATTATTTCTTCCTCAGTTAATGTAAATTCAGATTTCAATGGGAAATGGCAAAGAAGTCGAAAACATCTGCAAGTACGCATTGATCTCAATTACAAACTAAAGATCACAACAATACTTCACAAATTTTCAAAATAGGTGCTTTCAAATGACAAAAAATGAAGATCAGTTCAGTAAATGGTTGTGAAGGTCTCGATGTTCTCAGTATTTTATTTTATAAGCTTTACTTGTAAGTTTTATCAAATGACTTAGAATTTATTATTTCAGAAAACCCTTAATATATTAGATGCTAGAATGATTTTGTATGATATTCAATGAAATCTAAAATCTTATTTCATATTTATTTTGTTTCTTGTAAAAAAATTTGTACTTCAGTATACAGTGCTCTATTTAGTTTTTAGAATCTCTAGATTATATCATTCAGAATTTTATATAAATAGCTTTCACCATTGTGTTCAGCTGAAAAGTATTATTCCTTAGACTGCTGCAACCTTTATTCTCGATATTATTTTCTGTGAGATGAAATGTGTGCCTTTCAGTCAAAGATTTTTTTATTACTGTATTGAATGGCTGTTTTATTCAGAATACTATTTAAATGTATAAATGAGCTCCATTTTTTATACTGAAAAATGTGTGAATGGTTGGACAATTACTCATAATTATGGAATTTTGTCACAATATTTATGTATTATAATTTTATGAAATTAAGTAATATGACTGCTGCGACATCATTCCATTAAAATTACCTATTTATTATTAATTTATTGACTTGTCAACACTGGAGTATCATGTACATTTATTTATTTCATTTGACTCATCGTTCATACACATTTGTACTGTCATTACAATATAATTTATCAATAACATAACAATGCAATAAGTGCCAATAAAAAAAATTGTTAGAAAAGTTCTGTGGTTTAGTGAAATTGTTTAATATACCTCTGAATCCTATAAACCTGTTAAACTGTTTGGACACAAATGTTTCCTTATGGAAATTATTTTATTTTCTTTAATCTTTTTGCTACTCAGTTCTTTATATTATTATTATTATGTACCACTTGATCTTGAGATATTATCCTTCATTCTCTCTTTGACTTCTATAATGTTCGTGATTTATTCATAAGGTACGTGGAATTTGTAATCGATATTAGGTTTCTTCCGTTCTCATTTATGTGAGCGACGACGTTTATAAGATAATGAGTAGGGAACGGGTTTCTATGTAAATACATATTTACTAAAGCGAATATCGATACTAATTTGCATTATCTTTATGTTTCACAATGTGTAGAGTTGAAAAAATATACTTTTATTTTGGATATTTTGGGTTTTGGTACACATTTGGATAAAAGTCCGTATACTTTCCATATTTCTTATAAAATCAATGCATTTAGTATATTAAGCTTAACAGTGAAATTTCATTAACTATAAAATGCATCTGAGCAATAAAGAGCTTAAAAAAATCCAGTAATTGTTTAAATATTGGAGTTATTTGGAAATGAAGGGGAAAGCAAGTTAAAAATGTCAATTTTTAATTTTTGTAAAGAATAGATCCACTCTCCGGCTCTGAGACCCTGTTTCAGGGGTCCGAGTGTCCCGCGGTGCAAAGGGGGAGCCAGGAAGCGATCAAGTGTTGGGTTTGTTTGACAGATGACTTTGAAACCTCGATGGTCAGTAGGAAATGCACCTCGTTTCAGTATCCACATTACCCTCTGTCCTTCCCTCTGAAGCTGCCACCCGGAAATCGTATGACGTCACAGCGACTGGGACATCGGAATTCAACTTGTGTAGCTCTTCATTGACGGTTACAATCCAGTCAGAATACTACGTGTTGGTTCAGTTCTATTGATCTCTCTATTAAGCCAGTGAAAAATGCCATAAATGGTACGGAGTATAATTAGAAGTTACATTTCAGAATTTAAAGAAGAAGGTTTATCAACTGAAAATAAAGTATTATTTTACCATAGTAATTATTATCATATCGAGATCATATTTAACTCCATATTTTGATAAAAATAATTACATACATATTTACATGTTTCATATATTTTTAGTCCGTATGAATCCGTTCCCATAGTTTTATCGTCATCTGCATTAAACGATTTTCTTAACTTAAAAAATGCACTAAAGCATGATAAATGAATGCTGCAAAACTCTTCACGTCCTCAGACAATGGAATTTGTGAACATGTGTGCACATTCGGTCTCAGTTTCATGCTTTGTTACTCGGTTATGTCCTCTGTGAACATCTTTCAGCTCTGAGTCAAAGAATATTAATTTGAGATGAGATATGATTGAATATAAATAACAATAATTGTATTTATTAATGAATGTGCTTTCGATGTGAAATTAATTTTTGAGAAGTATATTTTCCTCATACAGTAGAATAACTATAACGAAAATATTAGTGTTTCGTGAAATGGCTGTACGTTCACATGGTCGAGTACGTACGAATTGTACCCTCCTTCATATGTCAGATAATAGTTGTTTTTTTTTTTTACTTTTTGGTGATAAATAAATAAAATTTAACTTTTCTAGTTATTCCGTATGATGTGAAGAGAGCGGTGCAACCGACACACCTCATTCACCTGCGTTGAATGTGTGTATTTATTTATGTTGAAAAATAAGTTTGTAAAAAATCTAATTCGGTGCTGTTGGAGATAAATTGCGATATTCACGCTAGAATTACGTTGGCGGGAAATAGTGTAGTATTAATTTTAGCAAAAAATTATATATTTGATATTCTCTTTAGCATTCTCAATAAAATAACCTGATATCATTCTGAGTGGGCAAGTACAACCTTGATAATTATCTAAAAATACTACAGTTGTATCTTACTAAGAAATCGGGCTTTGTATTTTATATAGTGACATATTTCATGCACTGGCCATTGAATTTGACAGAATTCCAATTGAATATCGGGAATTGTATGACTATTTGTTAAATAATTCGTTATCCATTCGACTATTATGTTTTCGAATAGTTTGGTAAAAGTGATCACGATGAGCGTAAGGTGAGCAAAGGATGTTCATTGGCTTTCTAGGTTTTTCCCGGGTACACAGAAGGAAAGGAATTTCATTAAGGAGACGATTTGCCAAATAGTGGGAAAACAGCTGAGACTAAATACGTGAAATATTGCTGTTTAGACATTATCTCTAAAATTAATTATAAGATATTGCTTTAGGAATTTTATTCAATACTCAGTTACATCCTAATAATTATTTGTCGTTTAATGTCTTTAATTTCACTGTTTACTTGCGAAGACGAAACGAATTTCTTATTGACAAAAATACATATAGTGATAAAAATAAATTGTGCATACACTCTTCTACTGTTATAATGAAGACATTGCTAGTGAATGGCTTTCTATGAAAGCTTCTAAAAGACGACTAGCGATTACACTTTCTCTAAGTCGAAACTCGCTTCATTTCATCAAACGGGCTTCGGAGAGATTTTCTTCTCGAATCTCTTACCCTCTGAATTGTATCTCACATGTGTCAAGGACATGGCAACTAAAGTACTTTCTGAAACTGCTCTCAAAACAAGATGAGGAAAACTGTCATTTTCATTCATTTGCACCATTCCTCGAAATAAGGAAGAATCGGGATTCACACACGTTTTTCTGTTTGCACGTCAAGAGATAACGATTTCTATCCCAGGACATCCCCGTATTGCAGCGCTCTGATAAGAGAAACCTCTCAAATTCTCCAAGTGCAGGAATGCGAGAGTTGCAATTTAGGGAGTCCCAGAACTAATTTTTTCGTAAAGAACTGTCCACTTCAAATTACCTTTCGGAAACAGTATTAGCTAATAGAGGTGAAACAAAAAAATTAAAACTTTTTCCATCAAAGAAGAATTTTGCGAG